CTGTATAAACCAACCATTACTGTCTACCAAACGTTTATTTAGCAAAGGGCCTCGTTGGATGATCCAAATTTATCTATAGCCTAACATTGACGTGCCCCGCGCTGTATGCTTGAGCAATCCATACGTGAACTACGCTAGAGATATAAATATATACAAACAAATATACGAGATATATATATATATATATATATATATATATACAAAATACAAAAATACAAATATATATACACATACATACATATATATATATATATGTGTGTGTATATATATATAAATATACTCACCTGGATTGTGAGCATTGCAATCAGGTCCCATTGCACCCAGGGGCACTATCTCGGCGTTGGGGTACTTCTTCATCAGTTCACTGAGGAACGGAATAGATCCACCAATGCCAAACGAGGATGTGCCTTGGCCAAAGAACGCTTTAGACGCTTCGTCAATCGACGTCTGCAGATACGGCGAGAAAGCCTGTTCGGGTGATATGGTTGTGTACGAACGCGGTGGTTAGATGCTACTGAAGTACATGGCGACAGGAGCTGTATATGTATGTGAATAGAAAGGCTGTAGGTCTGTAGACGGGGGAATATGCTCGTGCACGAACGATATAAGAGCTGGTCCTCTCGAGATATGGCGATAAGAAATGAATATATGATTACAGACATTGAGGTGTTTCATATTCCAAGTTGTCTGGGTTTATGATTGGGGCTTTAGGGTTTTGGGTTGAAACCCAAAAATCATAAATCCGTAGGACCTAAATCGTCGATCGCTAGCTCAACAAGGTATTAGCGTTTCAAACAAACAGTAATTGGTCTGCGGACTCGGGAAGGCACAGACTACTGTGCTATATGTATTGACACAAATACTCTAAATACACGCATATATATATATATATATATACACTAATCCATACCTTTGTGCAGAAACCATCCTCCCCCTTGTAGACCTGTGACTTCAATTCGAGCATTGAATGGTGGGTCTTTAGTTAAGATCTCCTCCATCTTCAGTGCGGCGGCGTGTCCATCCACATCGGGAGAGCAACGGATACCTACACGCAGCTGTGTTAATGTTAAGATGTACATAAGGAAGTATATGTGTTAATATGTGCGTATTGGCACAAAAGGAAGTAATATTGCAACCGTACAAGTCTATATGCGCAGATGCTAGCACAGACTTAAGTAGTAGCAGCAACGGCGCTTGTTAATAGGCGCAGATGATACGACGAGGTTAAGGAACATAACACACACACAACATCTACCAATGTACACTGAGAGTGTGTGATGTCAACATCCCAATAACTATGTGCGCCACCCAATCCTACCGTGAACGCTAACCCCTACAATCAGAATAGAGCCGGCGTGTCACATAACCCACTGTTGTATTTGGTATATGATAACTTATGATAAGATATGTTATATATATCTATATCTATATGTATATGTATATGTAGAAATATATATATATATATATGTATATGTATATGTAGAAATATATATATATATATATGTATATACATATGTATATATATATATGTGTGTGTATGTAAATGTGTATATATATTATTATATATGTATAGGTATGCATAACAAACTCATTATCTATACACATCCAGCCTGCGGTCATATGTAGTACCGCTCACCTGAAGTATTGCGCACAACAAACGCTGTAGCTCACGACCTATGTAACAACGCTTATAATATTGCACATTCCGTAGGCACAATTCATATAAACGTGTGTGAGTGCGTGTGTTATGTCCACATGAATATAAACGTATATATGTATGTGTGTCCGCATACATATAGCCCATATATATCAACGTGTATATATAATATAATATTATATAATATAATATATATTAATGTGCTATATCGCAATACCTGAGTCCATGGTCGCAGTACGTTGCCAGCCTCTGAGGGGTCGGGCAGACCAGCAGCACCAGTCACCGACAACGTGGCTCCCCACGCGTTGTTCAGGTACATCTGTAATAAATTAGTATCAAAGTTATTTAGAGATGTTTAAGTACATTCGGTATCAAGGTTATTTAGAGATGTTTAAGTACATTCACTACTACATATATCACAGGCGCATTCGCACTCGTGTAATGGGATAAGGAGCTGACATCACTGATCAACTCACACACGGCGACATAGAAACGGCCACACCCACAATTGCCTTTAATACGTGATGCATACGTTTACTAAATATACTTTGGATTGCAATGAACACACACACATTAAACTACGTGAAGATCAAGGCAAGCACGCATTACACTCAACGCATACAACCACACGTGTACACCCACTCACACACAACACGCTCACCTGTGCCAGATCTCCGTCGGACATCGGCTTGACACCCGGCAGCAAATTAAAAACCTCGTGGATGGCGTTGCCATGGTAACCGGCAATAAACTGGGCCTCCTTGATCTTATCCGCATTGGGTTCAGAGTTGAAGTCGTCGACCACAACGCCAGTCATAGAGTTTTCCAGACGGTCCAAAAGTATACGCGCGATAGTGAATGTCTCAGGTACAATTCCTCCCGCCAAACCACTGTGCTGTCCTGACTCCATGACTTGGATCTGTTGGGATATGAGGGGGGGGGATGAGTAGGTATGGGTGTGTGTTAGTAGGTAAACGCACAGATATGTGGTGTATTAACAAGTAGGTTAGATATATATATATATATGTCTACATAAGTCTATATTTATATAAGGTCTTTAGACATATATATACTCTATATAGTCTATA